AAGCGAAAAGGCAAGGGCAAAGACAGGAAGAAGGCCGCCGATCAACCCGACGACGGCGCGTCGCAGCCCTTATCAGCTAGAGGCCGGCCCTCCGTCAGCTCATTTGCGCGCGGGAGATCTATCAGCAGGGCTCCAGAGGCAGATCCTGAGCTCAAGACTGAGGATCTGCTGGAGTACTTACGACGAAAGCCAGACACTGCTTTTTCGAAAAAGGCAAAGCAGTTCCTTCTTTGCATCGCCCTCTGCCACACTTGTCTCCCCGAGACCTCGGACAACGGCGAAATCGAGTACCAGGCTGCTTCTCCAGACGAGCTCGCGCTTGTAGAAGCTGCGCGCGACCTGGGGTACATCGTCATTGATCGGCCGGCGCAGTCGATTCATCTCCAATTGCCAGATGCCAATGGGTCGATTGTCAAAGAGACGTACCAGGTTCTCGACGTGATTGAGTTCAGCAGTCAGCGAAAGAGGATGTCAATCATCATCCGCATGCCAGATGGCAGAGTCTGCGTGTTCTGCAAAGGCGCCGATAATGTCATTTTGCCTCGTCTAAAGCTGAGCGGGCTTGCCAGTCAAAAGGCGGATGCCGTGCAGCGGAGAGCCTCGATCCGAAGGAGTGTTGAGAAGGAAAAGGCTCACCAGCGCATGAGCAATGGCGGTACGCCCCGCAGCAGCATGATGCTTGCGAGGACGTCCGTGTCGGGTCGTCGCAGTCTAGCGATGAGGCGTGAAAGTCTGAGAAACTCTGGAGATTTACACCGACGAGGAAGCGCCGTTACTGACGACACCGAAATGTGGTCTCCGCAAAGAGTTTCACACGATGTCCTGTCGCCGATGAGTCCTCAGGAAATTTGGCCCTCTCCACGGCCCAGCATGGCCATGAGCGAAAGTGAGATTGATGAGTTCATTGATGAGTCAGTCGCGCTTAATGAGGGCGCAGTCTTTGAGAGGTGTTTCCAACATATGAACGACTTCGCATCGGATGGTCTGCGAACTCTGCTCTACGGATACCGTTACATCCCAGAAGACGATTACATCTCGTGGAAGAAGCTCTACCAGGATGCTACAACTAGCCTAGACAACAGGCAAGAGAAGATTGAAGCCGCTGGTGAACTGATTGAAGACAAATTCGATCTCGCTGGTGCAACAGCCATCGAAGATCGCCTGCAAGAAGGTGTACCCGAAACCATAGAAAAGCTTCGTCGAGCCGAGATCAAAGTCTGGATGCTCACTGGAGACAAGCGAGAGACCGCCATCAACATCGGACACTCCGCCGGTCTCTGCAAGCCCTTCTCAGAAGTCTTCATCCTGGACGCTTCAATGGACAATCTCCAGGACTCCATCCTATCCACTCTCGGTGAGGTCTCTAGAGGTATGCTTCCTCACACGGTCGTGGTTGTCGACGGTCAGACCTTGGGCACCATCGAGGACGATGAGGACCTGAGTTTCCTCTTTTTCGACCTAGCGGTCAGAGTTGATTCCGTCATTTGTTGCCGTGCCTCCCCATCTCAGAAAGCTTCCCTTGTCAAGCGTATCCGCCGACAAGTACCGCATTCTCTGACCTTGGCTATTGGAGACGGCGCAAACGATATCGGTATGATTCAAGCCTCCCATGTCGGCATCGGTATTTCTGGCCGCGAGGGTCTGCAGGCCGCCCGCATCTCAGACTACGCCATCGCTCAATTCCGTTTCTTGCAACGCCTTCTTTTCGTCCACGGTCGTTGGAACTATCTGCGAACTGGCAAATATATACTGGCCACCTTTTGGAAGGAGATAGTGTTTTTCCTCCCACAAGCCTACTTCCAACGTTACAACGGACACAGTGGAACCTCTTTGTACGAACCTACGAGCTTGGCAGTGTTCAATACGCTTTTTACTTCCCTCGCAGTCATCCTTCTGGGTGGTTTAGAAAAGGATTTGCAAGCGAAGACGCTTCTGGAGTATCCTGAGCTTTACACCTACGGCCATAGAAACAGTGCCTTCAACGTCAGGCTTTACATCGGATGGACGATCATGGGCTTGATTGAATCCGCAATCATCTACTGGGTGATGTTTGCGGTGTACGAAAAGTTGCCTTTCGATCTGAACACCGGCCTCTACGCCATGGGAACTATACCGTTCACCGTCTGCGTAGTGTTCATCAACATCAAGCTGCTGTAAGTATTGACCCTATATCCAGGGGTGTACTCATGCTAATTAGTAAAGGATCCTTGAAATGGAGAACAAGACCCTGATAATTCTGGCTGGCTTTCTGCTCTCGGTTGGCGGCTGGTTTCTGTGGTGTATCCTCTTGTCCGTTATCTACAAAGGTCGGACTGGGATTTACTTTTTGCACAGAGAATTTCTCGACAACTTCGGCAATACGCTCAACTTCTGGGCGGTGCTCTTCATCATCCTCTCAGCAGTCATCGTGTTTGAATTGCTTTTCAATGCTATACGACGCGTCTACTTTCCACAAGATGTGGACTTCATGCAGCGCCTTGAGAGGGACGGTAGGAAAGGGAAAGGTGGGGTGGAAACAGAGGATGAAGCAACAATTCTGGAAGCCATCGGGCACAAGCATGCCTCGGGCGATGGCCAGGGCGGCCACACTAACACAGAAGGTGTGCCTAGGAAGAGCCACCACTCTGGCCGGCCATCACATCACACGATCCGCATGTCGCGCAAGTCAAGAGATGAGACCGCAGCACGGGCTTTCACACCCCCTATTGAAGAAACTAGCGGTAGTTTGGAGCAGGTGGCAAGTGGATCTAGGCAGTCGAAAAAACCAGTGCTCTCTGTTGCGACAAAGTGGCTAGGTAACACAAAAGGTGGTCGTTCTGCTAGCCCCATTGAGCTGCGGTCAACCGGGCACAAGCAAGCATGAAAGACGAAGGGACGCTCAGGACAACAATAGCATTATGTCTTTCATGACAAAAGGATCAGGTTACAGACTAGTGTTACCGGCATGGAGCAGGTGGTGCATACGATGAAGGGGCCTTTGGCTTTGGAAAGCCAACACCAATGGCCTGGAACAGTCCTTTTCACATTTTGATACCACAAGCATGTTGACTAGAAGTCAGCATACGGCGTTTGAGCATCATTTTTCAGGCATACAATAAACAGTAGAAACATTACTGATTCAAGAATTGTGGATGCTCCATTTTGTGACAGTTGACGAAATGCTTGTAGAGCTACCCAGTAAATTATGGATTAGGACAATAACGAAAAGAGTATGTACATGATCCTGGGTCTCGTGTGAAGTTCCATCCGTACCCAGCCATGCTCATGAATCCGATCCTCGTCAGTCATGAGTGCTGGTGGCGCAAGGTTGGGGCGTCAGTGGGATATCAAGTAGGGAAGGGGAGTATCTAGTTTTCCTCCTTCTTCTCCTCAGGCTTGTCCTCAGACTTGCTCTCCTCCTGCTTCTTGTCTTCGTCGTCCTTCTTCTCATCCTTAGGCTCTTCAGACTTCTTGTCCTCCTTGGACTCCTCGGCCTTGTCGTCAGACTTGTCCTCGGACTTGGACTCCTGCTTAGGCTGCTCGTCGGCCTTTTCGTCCTTCTTCTCCTCGGTCTTCTCCTCCTTGGGTTCCTCGGACTTCTCCTCGGGCTTGGACTCCTCGGCCTCCTCCTTGGCGGGTGCCTCCTCGTGCTTCTCCTCGTGGGCGGCTTCGTGGCCGTGGCCGTGAGCGTCGGACTTCTTCTCGCCCCAGGGGAGGATTACGGCGAGACCGGCGACGGTAATGAGTGCTGAGCCGAGGGCGCTGGGTGGGACATTGTAAGCAATCGTTCAGTCAGAGGCATGAGCATTGGAGTTGCCGAGCGGTAGAAAGCCCGTCCGAACTCCAATTGGGCGAATTGGGCATGGAAGAATGGAAATGCTTACAGCGGGAGCTCGCTCTGGGGCTTCGCGGCGCCATGCTGGCTCGCGTAGGTCCTCTGCGCGAACTGAGGGCGGAACTGGGGACGGATCGTCCGGCGCGCCGAAAGTCGGAGGGCGGAACGGAGGGAAGCGGCTCTGGAGAAAGACATTGTTGGCTTTTTTTTGTTTTCTTGTAATTGAATGACAAAATTAATATAAAGACACAGTATAGTACAGAGGACCTTTTGAGGAACCCAATTGAGTCGTTTTTCTCTTCAGACGTGGCTTTTTCGTGAAGTACCGGAGAGAGGGAAGGGAAAAAAAAGGATCTCGGGTGGCTTAGGGAAAAAAAAGAAACACCAAGAATCCAAGGGGTGATTCGGCAAAGGTACCTGCTGTGCTACAAACGGAAGTGTTTCCCACTTCACAGGCTGCCCGGCTGCCGTCCGAAGTTTAGAGCTCGGAGCTGCGAGCTGCAGAGCAGCCAAAAGCACTGGCGCCAACAGCTGGGGGTGGAACCGGGAACGAGCTTCTACGGGGGCCTGTAGCAGAAAAGGCCCTCCATTGGCTGGCGAAAGAGCTGGACAGTTCCAGCGCGCCGGGGTGAAAGGCTCTCCACAGCTTCTGTGGTGACGACATTGCTGGGCCTGCACGGACTGTTTCCCGATGGAATGCGATGTTCTGGCTGTCTGGACTTATGTAATCTCGGCAATGGATTTAGCTTTAGTCCGAGGATCTCGAATTGAAGGCACTGGACCTATCCCCTCGCAAGGCCTCTGAGTGGAGGCAACTGCGGGCAGTCACAAAGGGTGGGGGTCCACTTTCGCGGGGCAAGACCTGGAACGTCCTGGGAGCAGCACCTCTTAGGTCCCCGACAACGCCTTCCTGCCTAGAGCTGCCAACCCCACCAACAACCTACCTCTCTTCACGAGGGTCTCTTGTTGTCGTTTATCATAAAACACAACAAACCAATCTCTCTACGGCATCATCTTCTAGTCTATTTCCAACCTATTGCAGACTACGCGGGCCGGTCACTCTTTCCCTACCCTCTGCATGGTCAGAGCCACCGCTTCCCGCTAACACGCCATCTGCCGCCTCTCAACCTCCTCGTCTTCCTTAACCCATTTCCCCCCCGATCAAAGCATCAACCAACCCGTCAAGATGGCTTCCTCGAGCGTGCCCGCGAACCCGACGCCTCAGACCGTGATTGGTCTCGTCCAGAAGCTCGGCGACGCTGACCCGGACTTCCGCTTCATGTCCCTCAACGATCTGCTCCAGGTCCTCGCAAACGGAAAGCCCGACTTCCTCCACCATGACTATAACGTAGCCGCGCGCACAGTCGACAGCATCATCAAGACCCTGGACGACCAGAATGGAGAGGTGCAAAACTTGGCCATCAAGTGGTGCGTGAATCCCTCCTGCCCCCTTCTGAACTGCAAGAAGCACTCGCTAACAGATGGGTAACCAACAGCCTCGGCCCCCTCGTCACAAAAGTACCGACGCCGATCATCGCGCCCATGATCGAGAAGCTTTCGGCGATAAAGCTTAAGAACTCCGTCGACAACGCCGTCCCGTCCCTCGCGCTGCGCGCCGTCATCATGGCCCTGCCGAAACCCACACCCGGCCTGCCCCCGTCCAAAGAGGTCCAGGAGTCCTACGTCGCCGTGAGCCGGGTGCTGATCCCGCGTTTGCTGGGTCCCGGAGGCAAGGTCCAGGCGCAGTCTGGCTCTAACAACATTCAGCTCCCGCCTGTGCCGCCGGGTCTGTTGAAGGTCGACAAGAACCTTAGCGCGGAATCAGTTGACATTCTCATCGAGGTCGTCAGGTGTTTTGGAGTTATGCTCTCCCCGCTTGAGGTTGAGGCGATGCAGGACGCGGTCATCAGCTTGCTGGAGAATGACAAGACATCTTCCGTCGTTAAGAAGAGGGCCGTCGTGGCGATTTCTATCCTGGCGGTCCACCTGTCGGACGACCTGCTGAACCAGATGGTCACGCGCATGGCTAACAACCTAGGCAAGCGTGATATCCCCGCGGTTACGCGCCGTCTCTACATCTCCATTACCGGCTCTATGGCGAGGTCGATCCCCGCACGATTCGGCACATATCTGAGCACCCTTGTGCCTTTCATCATGCAAGCTCTTAGCGAAGACGAGCTGGAGCAGCACTTGGAGGAGATTAGCGACGGAGACGACGTCGGTCTGGACTTTAACGAGGTTCGCGAGTCTGCTTTGGTGGCACTGGAGGCTTTCCTCGCAGCATGCCCAACAGAAATGCGCCCCTTTACCGAAGACACTATCAAGGCGTGTCTCCGATATCTCAAGTACGACCCCAATAACGCTCAGATGGATGACGACGAGGACATGGAGGTCGATGAGGAGGAGGAAGAGGAAGACGCCGACGATGAGTTCGATGACGATGCCGGCTTTGATGACGATGACGACGCGAGCTGGAAGGTCCGTCGTTGCGCCGCAAAGGCTCTGTACACTCTCATCTCGACCCGCGGAAGCGGCGATTTGCTCGAAAATGGCGTCCTTTACAGCCAGGCCGGCCCCACTCTCATCAAGAGATTCGACGAGAGAGAAGAGAATGTTCGTCTGGAAGTCATCTCCTGTCTGTCCCTCCTCGTTCGCAAGACCGGCGAGGGCATCTATCCCACCGATTTGTCACTCGACGACCAAGAGCAAGAGGCCCCGAGCCTGATCCCTGTCAGCCGGAAGCGTAGGCGCCAGAGCAGCGGCGGTGGTTCCATGGCTGCTCATGTTGCGACTGGTCTCACATCACCCACTCTCGAGCGAATTCCTTCGACCGGCCCTCGCGCCGACTTGGCTCGCTTCACCCCTACGATTGTAAAGGCGTCCACAAAGTTGCTCAAGGGCAAGGTTATTCCCACTAAGCAGGCCATCATTAACCTCCTTGACGACATAATTACGGTACAGCGCGGAGGTCTGTCTGACTACTTCAACGATGCCATTGGCCCCATCATCGAGTCGATCAAGCCTACTGGAGCCTCTGCTCTCGCTTCCTCCTTGGCCGCTTCTGGTGGTAACGCGTCTGCCACTCCCAGCACACTACGTGTTGCGGCCCTGAAGCTTACCAGTGACATTGCCAAGACTCACTCTTCAAGTCTACTCCAGCCTTACCTGACCAAGATCGTTGCTGGTGTGGTGGCGGCCGCCAATGACCGCTTTTACAAGATTTCCAGCGAAGCCATTGGCACGATTGAAGAGCTGGTCAAGGCTATTACGCCCCCTCGTTCCAAGATGACGGCGCAGAAGTTCAAGGGCGAGTTGCAAAAGCTTTTCGACACGATCATGGATCGCATCACCGCAACTGATGCCGATGCCGAGGTCAAGCAACGGGGTATTCACGCTTTGGGCGTCCTGTTGTCGAGAACGTCTGGCGCTGATGGTGCTGGCTTGATTGCTGCCGACAAGCGTCAAGCCGCCCTCGCCGCTCTGCTCGATCGTCTCAAGAACGAGACCACTCGACTTGCAGCCGTCAGAGCCGTCGATAACGTCGCCGCCTTTAGCACCAGCAGCGGGCAACTCGAGACGGCTTGGATTCGCGAGGTGGCTCTGGAGCTCGCCGGCCAACTGCGTAAGGCGAACCGATCTTTGCGCGGCTCTAGCATCCAGGCTCTGAAGCACTTGATCGTGTCTCCCACGTCCAAGGGTCAGCTTGATGCAAACACCATCCAGGGCCTGGTCTCGGCACTGGTACCTGTAATCAGCAATCACGATACCCACCTCCTGGCCCCCGCACTGCTTATTCTCGCAACCCTGGTCGAGGAGAACGCAGGCCTTGTTGTGAACCAATCCATGGTCGCAACTATCTGCACTCTTCTCAAGTCGAGTTACGCAAGCATCGTTCTGGATCAAATTTTGATCCTCGTCACCAAGGTTGGTGAGAGTGGCTCTGGCCAAGGTCTCATGCAGGGTATTCTCAAAGAAGTTAGTATCGAAGGAGACCCGGTCGTTGTTGGCAAGGTCATTGGTGCTCTTCTCGTAGCCAGCGGAAGCTCGGCTGGTGTCACGATCGATAGCTTCATTTCCGAGCTTCAGAGCAGCACGCAGAAGAGGGATGACGCTAGAATCAGTCTTGCCTTGGCAGTGCTTGGTGAAGCCGGTCTGCGACTAGGACCCAACTCTCCTCTCAAGCCGGATCTGTTCCTGAAGCAGTTCCATGAAGAGCCCGACAAGGTCTCCATCTCCGCCGCGGTAGCTCTTGGCCGTGCTGGTTCGGGCAATGTGTCCCAGTACCTCCCGGTCATCTTGGACACCATGCAGAAGGGTGGCAACACGCAGTACTTGCTGATTCAATCGATCAAGGAGATCTTGCAGCAAGTCACCGTTCTGTCCGCCGAGGTTTCCAAGTTCGCCGCGCCAATTTGGCAGCATCTGCTTTCGGCGTCTACTATCCCCGACAACCGCGTCGTCTGCGCGGAGTGTGTTGGCCGCTTGACCATTATTGATACCCAGACATTCATGCCCCAGCTCCAGGTAAGTGCCCAAGGTCAACTCTTGTAGCAATCTGCTAACAGCTTGTAGTCCCTTCTCAGAGATCAGAACCCCGACATCCGTGGCATGGCCGTGCAGGCTGTTCGATACACGCTGCCTGACAGTGACGACGCTTTCGATGCTATGCTCAAGAACGTCCTCGTTGACATGCTTCTCGTCATGCTTCAAGACACGGAGATGGACAACCGTCGCTTGGCCATGTCGACGTTGAACTCGGCAGCCCACAACAAGCCCGATCTCATTCTGCCCCACTTGGGCGAGCTGATGCCGTATGTGTTGTCCGAGTCGGTCATTAAGCCGCACTTGATTCGTGAGGTGATGATGGGTCCCTTCAAACATATGGTGGATGATGGCCTGGAAGTCCGCAAGGTAGGTACTTCGTGCTTCTCATGGGATTACGCTAACTCGCTTTGCAGAGTGCCTACGAGACGTTGTACGCTCTCATGGAGACGGCATTCTCACGGATCAACAACATTGACTTCTACGACCGTGTTGTCGCTGGTCTTAAGGACGACAATGACATTCGCAGTCTGTGCAACCTGATGGTTTCCAAGCTCATCGTGCTTGACCCCGATGAGACGGCTCGTCGCCTCGATACGATTGCCGAGGCATACCGGGCGATCCTGTCGACCAAGTTGAAGGATGGTGCCGTCAAGCAGGACGTGGAGAAGCAAGAGGAGGCCAACAAGAGCGTCCTGCGTGTGACCCTCCTGCTCGGACACAGGCACAAGAACAACAAGGCGGGTTCAGGCAATGCTGTGGCCAACGCCAACGCTGGAGGCGGAAGCCAGGTGTGGAATGCTTACTGGGAGTGGGTGAACAAGGAGTTCCAAGCGTCGCTTAGAAGTATGCGCGAGGAAAGCAAGGAAGCCCGCGTGTTGTAAGCAGGGGATCTTTTGGCCGGGCTGAATACCTTCTGGCGTTAGTGAACATGGAGTAGCAGGAACTAGAACAAAGCATTACTCTATGATCAGGGACTCGAGTTATCGGGAAACTATTCGTGCTGCTTCGTGAGAAAGCCATGAGCGACCGAAACGATATCCGCGCTAACCCCTCCGTAACGTAAGGCTGCATCGCTGTCCGGAAGTCGCTACATAGTAACCGAGACAAATCGGCGAGATGTTGTGCAGCGTAACAAGCTGTGATCCGCGACATTCCGATAAGCCCACGCAGGGCACCGTCATATTACACAAGTAAGGCTGATGATCGGGACAGATTTACTGTCTTCAATGGTGGCGTGGGTGCGCGATCCCTGTTGGGTGATGGTGTAAGCCACGGGCTTGGCGGGAAGTCATGCTTGAGCGTTATGCTGGGGCCGGCTTACGTTCATTTTCACGCGCGAGGGTTATGGTACTCGCAGGATGGAAAACTTATAAGATGAGCTGTTTCTAGGCAAATGGTTTGAATTTAGAATAATAAGATATTTCAATTCGGTATTTTCTTTACCTTAATTGAGTGCAGCTCCTTACACAACAAATCTGAACTACTGAACGAACGACACCAAGGCAATCATTACTACACAATTTCAACTTACACCATCACCATCCTTCACAACACCGCAATCACCAACAAAAAATCAGCCATGGCAACCTCCCGCGCCTGGACTTTCACAGCCCGCGGCGCCCCCCGCTCCGTCCTCTCCCTCACACCGCGCCCGGTTCCCACGCTCCCGCCCGCAGCCGCCGTCGTCTCAAAGCCCAAAGACAGCAGCGAGTGGCTCCTGATCAAGGTAGCCTACGCAGCTCTCAACCCAGGCGGGCACTTTTACGTGAGCATGATCCCCGCGGCCGCGAGGACGAAGACGGCCGTGCCGGAGATGGACCTGAGCGGCGTCGTGGCCGATGTCTGGACCCCTTCTGCTTCTTCGTCTGCGGCGAAAGCGAGATTTCGCAAGGGAGACCGCGTCGCTGCGTTCATCCCCGTCTCGTTCGGTTGGGCCACGGGGACGGGCGCGCTGGCGGAGCATGTTGTCCTGCCCGCCAAGTACGCCGTCGCGGTGCCGCGGGGCGTGGGGCTGAAGGGCGCCGGGAGCGTGTTGACGGCGGGGTGCACCGCGCTCACCACGGTGCGGGCCGCGGGGCTGAAGAGGGGCGGCAGAGTGCTGGTCAACGGGGCCAGCGGCGGGGTGGGGAGTCTGGCGGTGCAGATGGCGAGAGACGCCGTCGGGCCGGAGGGTGTTGTGGTTGCGGTGTGTTCGGGGAGGAATGCCGAGATGGTCAGGGGGTTGGGGGCGGACGAGGTTGTGGATTACGCCGCCTCCGGCAGGGTTTCTGATGTGTTGAGGGAGAGGTTCGGCGGGGAGAAGAGGTTTGACGGGGTTGTGGATTGTATCGGGGTGCAGGATGTGTACGCTTCCTGCGCGGCGTATGTGGTGCCCGGGGGCGTGTATGCGGCGGTTGGGATCAAGCCGGCGGCGCGGACGTGGGGGAGCTTTTTCAAGGCTGTGTGGACGATGCAGATGAATGCTGTGTGGCCTTTGGCGGGGTGGCTTGGGGGCGCGGGGAGGGTTTGGAAGGGGACGACGATGATGGATCCTGGGAGGACGTTGATGGAGGATGTTGTGGGTATGTTGGCGGATGGGAGGGTGAAGGCTGTTTTTGATAGAGAGGTTGCGATGGAAGATGTTGTGGAGGGATATAATGTTGTCGAGAGCGGGAGGGCTAGGGGGAAGGTTGTTGTCAAGGTTGGAGAGGAGTGAGCAGTTGTCAAAGATGGATGTGTTCAATGATTGTTTAGACGTATTACACATTGTTTATTTCTGATCAGTTGGTTAAATTCTTAGCTTGAATGAGAACCACTCTACCAATTTATTACCGCTATTCTTTGCGCGCTCCAACTTTGGTGATACTCCGAAGAAGCCTGTCAATGTCTGCCGCTGGACGAGATATCGACGACTGCTGATCCAGACTCCTTCCACGTCCTCTTCAAACCGGTAAACCAACGTGTTTAAACCATTTCAGCGGCTTCCTTCCTACGTGGCCCCGTTTCTAACCTTATCTTCCTCTGCCAGCGTCTGTCTACGGAGGTGACGAAAGAGGTCCTGGCCCGCCTCGATATCAACACAACAGCGCCTGGTTATGTCTATGATCAAACGCCACGACGACGGCCTTCGCGTACGCGAGCGCTGCGGCAAGAACCTGAAAGCAATTAGCATCTTTCCCCTCCAACTTACACACACTCCTTTCGCATCCAAGGCTTACCATTACATGCATAATCTGATGACTGGCCCCAAACAGATCAAACGTCCTCGGGAACCACAACTCGGGAAACTGCCACTATCAGCGACCACACTCACTTTGTCAGGTGCAGGAAACAAAATCTCACCTTGGCCCAGTATACCAAGACCGCCAACGCATTACACCCAGCCGTCGCCAGTATCCACGGGCCACCGACCCGCGCCCACTCTACACCAGCCCCAAACACCAAAGCACCATGCCCGATCGGCAACACAAACGCCGCAGCGCCAAACGTGGCAAACAGCGCGGCGCGGTGGTGACCCAGATGCACGGCGCCGAGGTTCGGCCTCGTCGTCGCCGCGGCGCACAGAGCGGCAAGCGTGCCCGTCAGCAGGATGTAGGCGTCGCGGGTGCGCGGCGAGCAGGGGAAGGTGTAGTGTGCCAGCGGCGCTGTGGAGCTCCACATGAGGGCGAGCACGCCATGGAAGTCTGCTTTTATGCCGGCGAGGTAGTAGGGTTCGCTGTGAGACATGAAGGTGTGGAAGCTGGAAGGGGAGACGTGTTGGGGTTAGTGATGTGTGGTTGATTGTCAAGTGGTCATGTAAACCAGTCACTGAGATGTTACTACGTACGCAGTTGACAGAACAAAACAGACTGTAACTCCTAATGCGTAGATGCTGCAGACTACGATGTCTGAGGTGGAGGCGGTTGTCCATCTCGGGGAAATGGCGTCGCCGAAAATGAGGAGTGGAAGAAACGTGAAGAGGATCGCCCCGATTATGTGTGAGTAGATGTTGACTGTCCGTTGGTTTAGTCTCAAAGTCATCAGGTGTCGTTGGTCCCTGACTCTACTCACTTGTTTCATTGTGAACGTAAGTCCAGCTATGAAAACACTCCGAGACTGAGAAGCATGCTTTTCTGAAATGGATAGTTAGCAATGCTCGAAGCTCTGGTAATGATATACACGCCAGCTCACCGATAACCTGTCTTGATGTGTTCACTCCCACACCTCATACGTCGTTAGCTGCCACTTGGGTGAATGAGAGACTCCTCATGAACCCACTGCTGCCATTCCGCTAGACAACTCGTCAGCAACTGTACTTACAAGTGTCATTCCCAAACAAGAAAACTCACGGAGCTCTTCCCATCTGAGCAGCGCGCTGACTTTCGTCTGCTTCTCCGGTGCCTCGGCCTGGCCGCCCCAACTCCGTAACCGCCTGCCGGCGCTCTCTCCACCAAAAGCCTTCTGCAGCCTCCGTCTCAAGGCAGATGTCGAAAGAAGGGCCGCCATTTCAGTTTGAGGGAGAGTTCTGCCCGTCAAAGTCGCCCAGGTCAACGTCCTTCAATCGTTCCTTACCCTGTTGACGAGAACGCAATGCGCAAAGTAAGTGATCCGCAACTCACAGACGACCTAAAAGTCATCAACGGGATCCGAAGCGCTCAATTGTTTGCAAATATCTTGTATCCATCAAGCGTAAATGACTATCGCGTCGGCAAACATACTGCGCAACCAGAAGCAAGAAGTCCCAACATGAACGACGTTCGTCACATTTACTCCTCACGTTCAAACCCAACAATCCCCGTGCTGTTTCCTCCATGCCCCCTGGCCGTCGCAGTCGCCGAACCAAACCCACCAACACGAAACTCGCCCCGGAAGCGCGCCGATCCGGTGTGTGTGTGTGGTTCCGCAGCATCGTCGCATCCGACCACCCGCTAAAAAATTGCGACGACGCTGATGCAGGCCCATGAATAATGCGCATGGCAGAACCAAGCGTGCTCACAAAGAGAAACCAGATAGAAGAAGTCGGTTGGATAGAGCCTAAAATGCGCTAGTTGGGTTGGGTTGGGGCCAGCAGGTGGTCACTTGACGGGAGGGTGATGCGTTGCAGGGAGGGACCCTGAGTTTTTGGAGAGACCATTGTTTCTGAGGTTCACGTCGATGTCGAAACGTTGCGGTGTGTAATGCTAAGACTTATGGGGATGTGTTGTTTGCTCAATAGCGTGTGTCATCCGCCTGGTGGGTTGGGTGATATCTGAGGTCCGCCTTACGGATCGTGGAATTCCGAGAGGAGCATTTGAAAACAGCAATCGAATTAATACATCAGCTCTTCCTTGAGGAACTTGTATTGAAGCCGATAATACTACAGAGCGTTCGTCTTCTTGGCCAGTATTAAAGCCCAAGGTGAGCCAGCATAAGCAGAAATGTCACCACGTACACTCTATACAAGGAACGCTTCGTACCCAATCAGAATATCCGAAAGCAAATGACATCTTCCTACCATTCCATGATATCCTCACGAGGCCCGTTCCCTTTGGGAGCACACTTCTTCAACCATGTGAGGCCTGGAAGATTTCCCATGGCTTCTTGTACTTTGAAATAAAAGAGTATTCAAGACGTATAGAACAGCAGCTTGGGACGCCCAAGGATGAGGCAAAGAGTCTGTCCTTTGCTGTTCCCCACTATCTCTGTGATTCAACTTAACCGGCGTTGACGATCGGGACAAGAAGATTTCTCCTGGCAAACACTGTTCTTCGAGAGCCTTGTAAATGTGTCATTAATGCCGAACAAGACATGCGGAAACACTGACTATCTTGTTGACCCAGACAGATGGGTCTGGGTTGTTGTGACGATGTAGCCAAATCCCCATCCGTCTTCCCCCATCCTCATGTATTAAAGGACCTTTAGTTGCTGCCATACGATTACAGAA